AGTTGGGTTATCCCGAGGTGTATTGTTTTTTGGATTCTCAATGAGAACTCATCTTTTCCATTCACTTTCTTTCTTTTTTCCTAAAATTATCAAAAAAGGAAATTTTTTTTGAAAAAAAAGGATTTGCGGGAAAAAAAATCCTAATTTATTATTATAAATCAATATATAAATAATGAAAAACAATTGTAAATAGTTTTATTATAGTTATTAATTTAAAAATTTTAATGTTTTCTAGTAAAAAATATTTGACTTTTATTCTTGCCTCTCTTTTTATAAACATATCTTTAGTTATAGATACTCAAAAAAAATATTAAATAAAGAATTATATTACTTAAAAAATATGAGAAATTTATTAAATTAATTTGAACTAAAAAGAATAAAATTAAAATTAAATACTCTATATCTAATTTAGAAAATAATATTTTAATTTTTTTATTAAATAAATATTAAATTTTTATTTATTTTGGGTTTTTTTTTTTAATTTATAATTATATTGTAATATAATATATCTTTATTTAAAAAATATACTTATAAAATTTTTATAATATAATTTACATATTTTTATATAAAAGTACTTTAAGTTTATTTTAAAAATAATATTATACTCTTTTAGTTAGATTGAATTTCTTTTTATTTACTAAAATTATTATTAATAGCTTATTATTATTAATTAATTTAAAAATTATAAATTATGATTTGTGGATCAATAGTGCAGTAAATATACTTTCAGGTTATCACCTGTGAGTTACTGATCCAATTCCACTCAATAATAGTTTTTGCAATATTGATTATGTTTAATAATGAATTCTTAAAGTATTTAATATATAAAATTTTACAAATTTCTTATATCCCTTTTTGAGAAACAAAATTTATAGCTCTTTACTTTAATAGGAACAAAAGTCAGAAAAGACTATAAATTAATGATTTAAATAATGGAGGACAATTATAATTAAATTTTTTTAATTATTAATTTAAAAATTTTAATTTCTGCTAGTAAGGAATATTTACTTTTATTTCTGTCTTCCCCTTAGAAACCTATTTATAGTTACATTATATAAAATATATGTTAATTAACAATATGTATACTTGTATATAAACAACCTATGGAAATTTATTATCTGACTATAATATAAAAATTAGGATATACATGTCCTGATCAGTTTTAGTACTAGAAAAAATAGAAGATTCCTATCATCTGGAATATATAAAGATATCAAAATAGTTAGAAAAAACTCAAGCCTTCAATGTAAATATAAATATTTACCTCTTCTTAAAAAATATTTTATAAGAGATATGAGAGACTTTGATTATTTATATCAGTTAAAAATGTAATAGATATAATAAAAAATTAATGAAAAATTCTATAAATTGCAAAATCAATGACTACTAAAGAGAATAACTGAATATGAAAGCTGATAATTAGTATTAATATCATGGTAGAAACTATAGTAGGTAAATACATTTGATAGAGACCTAAAATCTCATTTGATCAAGGAATACTTACTATAAGCCATATCTGGAGAGTAATTAAAAATGATTATAATAAAAGACTATATTATATATCATCTATACAGTATATCATTGAATCACTTGAACATCAATATACAATTATAATGTCTGAAAAAATCAAGATTTGAACCAACTCTCAAAGAATTGAATATAGTAAGAATCATTCACAATATTTACTATTATTATGAGATAAGCAAGAACATATTAAGGAATACATATTATAGTACTTTGAAATTAGAAAAAAGAAGACTAATGGTAGATCTTCAGAATACCATAGATCTAGATAAAACAGGACAATTGATAAAAATGTATTATTATATGATAAAATTGGTATATTTAATAAAGATAGGTAGTAAAAAATAGAATTAATAAATAGTTCATATAATCTGAAAAATATATTACTGAATATCTTAATAAAAGTTTTATCCTGTTATTTGAACTATAAAAAAAAATTATAAATTACTAATATTAAAGTTTTATTATTTTTTATAAAAAATTTTTTATTATCAAATTATTTGTTTTCAAATAACTTAATTGATCTTTACATATAAATTATATAATAATTAATAAATAAATAGAATTTTTTAATAGTAATAAATTTTTAAAATTATTTATAAAAAAATTTTTTTAAAAAATAAATAAAATAGAATAAGTATTAAAATATAATATATAGTATATAATTTTTTTTAATTTTAATTGTAAAATTAAAGATTTAAAAATTATTAAATTAAAATTTATAATAAAAATATAATAATTAAACTAAAACTTTTAGAAGTAACCATAAATAAATAGAGAAAGAGATATATTTTTTTTAAATACTAGTTCATCCTTATATTAAAATGAATAAGATTTATTTGAGTAAGCAAAATATTTAAGAATAATTAGGATGAATAATCATCTGTACTGTCTAAGGATTTATAAATTAACAAATAGTATAAAGAGCAATCTATTTACATCTCACTTAACTAAGATAAGATAGTTATATGACTATCTATTATAGATAATCTATTTATAAAAAACAAATTACAAAAAAATAAGAAGTATAAAACTCATACTATGTTAATTTTCTATTTTATACTCTGATACTTCCTAAAGTATGATTTAGATTAATCCATTGAGTAGTTTATTGCTATTCCAAAAGGAAGAGGATAATGTGTCAAGGATTTATTTAGGATATTCAATATTACTGATGTTAAGGACTATTCATATGAAGCCTTAATTTTACTAGTACTTAATCAAAAAAATTTTTTTAAAAAATATTGTATTTAAGTTAAGTTTTGTTCAGAAAGATGTGATATTGTTTAGCTAATCATTAAAGATAGTTTCAATGAGTGAATAAGAGTATTAAAACCTTTAAAAAATATTGATCCTAAATATAGTGGTTGTATTTGCTAAAAAAGGAGTGAAAGAGTTGGAGTTGTTATCTATCTAAGATAATCTAGTCCAGCTTTATTCTTTTTATATAACTGGTGATGTTATGGATTTTATGTTTTGTATTTACCTATATGATTGGTATACAACTTATGGTAGATCCCAGATTCTTATAGGTATTGAAAAATATATTTAAATATGTGGGGTGATCAATAGGAGCTTGTTTACATTCTTTTACTAACATATTTTCTGCTGACCAATTACTGTATGAGAAACTTTGTGCTACTTAAAATTTAAAATCAAATTGAGGTAGATAACATTCTTCTGAAAAAATCAAAAAAGAGTATTCTAAGAGTTATAATATGATAGGAGAATAGATGGTTGCCTTCAAAAAAAGCTTTTCATCATCAAAAAAGCTCTATGTTGTTTTTCTAATAGATGAGTAAATGACAGTACACAGTTTTTCTTCTTTTTAAAACTTTTTTGCCATTGATAGAAAAGATATTTAATAGCTTTGTTTATTAAAAGTCAAGTTTTTATTTGAAAAATGTTTATAAAAGAAAAGGGTAGAAGACTATACCTTTTTAAGTGTTACTTCAAGTTAGCCATTTAAAAGTACAATAAAAAAAAAACTCTTTCTTATACATATCATATTTTTGAAAATTTCTTTTTTTGAAAATTTTTATTTTTTGTGAAAAAAGGATTCCCAAATACTTAGTTTTACTTACAATATAATACCAAAAACTATTTTAATCAAAAAAATATAAACACAAGATCAAACAACTTCAAATACTTATTAAATACAACAAAATAGCACAAGAAATATAGAGGTTGATGAACAATAAACCCCACACAAAAACACTCTCAAAATGAATCTAAGAAGCACAACACCAGCATACAATAATAGATACAATTCTAATGAAGCAAGCACATCTTCCAATAGTAACAACAACACATTACAAATACAAAAATTGGATAAACTTATCAGTTAATATTATAAATACACAAACACTCCAAAACAATAAAAAAGATAATAAAAGCAATCCATTTATTCCACATTACTTCAGCAACACTGATAACCAATATGATGACTGGTTTGAGGAAGTACAAACACTTCAACCTTCCTTTTCTTTCCCCAATGAATCTTCTGAACAATAAAACTCATTCGCCTTCTCAAATAACAAACCAACTAACTGGCCCATTGAATATGACAGAAAATGATTCAAGATGCACATTCCCATAGTAAAGATTCCTGACAAAGATGATGACAGCAAACTCAAACTCCTACAAAAATTCCTATCAAGATTGGAATCATTCACATCGATCAGAATCATCAAATCCCAAGAATAAAGCAATATTACAGTCCTATTAGCATCAAATCGAGCATCCTGCCCTGGGACGACAGGATCGGGGTTAAGGTTCACATCAGCTTTAGGTATTGGTCCAGTATTACTATCACGTCTGACCAAAGGTCTTTCATCAGCGATCGTAGAAGGGATGACCAATAAGACGAATATAAAATAAAACTTGGATTCATCCTTTTTCTGTAAATGTATCGAGTTTATTGATGGATGGAAGGTTGAGAATAAATCGTCTTTATATAAGAAATTTAAAGTCTTAAAACCTTTTCGCAAATGGTTTAATGCACCGAAATAATCTTAATAGAATAAGTACTGCAGTATTTCAGTAACACGTCGCTTTGACAGAATTTTGATGCGCATCTTTGACTTTTTTTTTCGAAATTAAAAATTCGTCGTGATACAAAAAGAAGTCAGACGAACACCGCGTATCAGACAGCGCTGAAAGTAATGTATTTGTGTATTTAGAGGACATAGCACTCTAGCCAATATCAATCTTGTATACTCATCAACCCTCTTCGATTCTCTTATACAGCAACGCGAGGTGGTACTTGATTATAGAGGTAATAAAAAGAAGATTGTGGTGTAATCATAAAATTCTTTTCCATTACACTTATTATGCTTTCAATACTTTGATAAACGATAAATATGATTAGCTTGACTTGATTAATGACACCTGGGCTAACATCTCGAGCGTTATATATATGTTGAAAAAATTTTATATAAGTATAACCAGCTCGTACTCTTGCAAACAAAGAAAAAATGCTACGCCTAATTCATGTGCTCTTGTTCATCTTTACCTTATCTGTAGTCATCATCCGTACAACCCGTGGCTTATCAATCGCTGTTGATGACTCCGATTTTAATCCATTTTCTAATAGTGAATTTCACGAACCTGGTCCGGAATCTGAAGAGGTTCAATCTTACTTTGACGCGGACTCTAATTCAAGAAATTCACCTGAAAATTCAACACTCGATTCCTCAAAATTTAATCCTCTCGAATTCAAACCGCACCTTGATCATCTGGTAGAAACCTCGAACATGTTTGGCTTCGGTGGGGTGAATCATAGAGAATACAAGGTCCTAATGCTTTTTAAAGAAAAGGGAATCAGTTATATATTCAAGGTGATTGTTTTCCCGTCGGGCAAAGGTGAACCGAAAATTTATGACGTGTACGTAGATCCGTTGCATCAGAAATGCAGTGGGAAATATTACAAGATTGTCGTAGTACCTCGAGATAGACCCGAGGCATGGAAAGAAATTAAATTGTGTATTCCACATACGCATTAGCCTACCTAGCTGTACCGGATTTGTTCTTGAATCGAGATGTCAAAAATTGTTTTCACGCTTACCAAAGATAGAAGTTTTACACTCTTATTTATCTAATTGCGATATTTTCTCTCATATGAAAGAATTAAAAAATCGTATACATTTATATAGACTTTTTGTTTTTAATGAGATGTGATGTCTTCAAGATTCCATATTAATAATACAATTTTTCGAGAACCTTTTTATCATCAAGATAATTTCGCATTGCACATCACATAAACAGTAAATGAACTAGTAGTATACTGTACAAAGTGGCATTTATTTCAATCTTTCCGACAATGTGATTATGTGGTCTAGTTCTTTGCCTCATCCTACCCTTACATGTTGTCCTAAGCGTTCAATGTACTGTCAGTTCAGCTAAAAGATCATTAGTGTTGTCTAGTAGGATTTGAAATACGCAAGCGTTAGTATATATGAACCAGGTAACGATTCACATTTCTGTCGAACATAAATTTATCAATCCCCAATATAAGAATGTCTTGTAGTGGCATGTGATCTGAGTGGGCATTCAACCCCCTATCTCGTCATAACTTCTGATTTTGGGGAAATTCGAAAATTTAAAATTCGTAGATCTTCCCCCCTTTGCGTTACGTACATATCATGTCCCTTAATTTCCAAGCATACAGAATAAATTCCTCAACTCGTCACTTTTTCAGAACTGCAATTATGCCAAGTTGGCGCATTCACCTTCGAGTTGGTTCGGCACACATTTAAAAAGTTCAATAAGTAGATGCGGAACCAGATTATTTATTTATTTTATGACGATACGACTTTTCTTGATCAATTTAGCATTTTGCTTATAAAGAATCTTTTAACTTACGTTCGAAGCACATTTGATCTTTCGTGGAAGAAAATTATCTTAAAATCGCCGCTCCATGGCTTTGATACAAAAGAAGAAATTGTTTTCTATATTCGGCTCGCCACCAAAGTCACCCGTTTTATCTTCTGGCGTCGGGGCATCACTTGCTAGTCATTTTCCCTCGCAGGAGGATTCGACCGAAAAACGTCCAGCAGCTACCGTTGACGATGTTCGAAAATCTGTTAACGCTCTGGAACGACTTGTCACGGCGGCTGATTCATATCGAGACCTAATGAACAGGTTAAGCAAAGCCTCTAAAGTTTTTAGCATCGCTTTAAAAGAATATGGGAGTTGCAAAGGCCTAGAAAATAAACACGGTGAGCCTCGGATATTACAAGTATACATTTGTTATGTAGTAATTTTAATTTTTGCTAACGGCAATTACCGGTCATCAAAGTTATATGCATGCAGACTACTTCTCAATTTTATGATTGTCAAGCTGATGTGTTGTCAAAACTCGTATGTATGGCACTGTTTCCACCTTAGTCATTTATACAAGGTTATTATGAGACGCTAATGCATGCGCACATACACTACTCATGCATAATTCAGAACAAAGCGTTGCAAAAGGACTTTGAAGTTCTACAAAAATTCTGGGACAAATATTCTAAAAAAGTGACGGTAAGTCTATTATTGACATGTGATCATTTTACGCATTCGGATTCTCGCTGCACCGAATTTATTTTTGTCCACGATAACAGAAGGACGAAAGAGATCATAATGGTCATGTAAAAGATCTGGATAAGCAAGTCAAAAAGATTGGCAAGGAATATGAAAAGAAATCAAAGAAAGATCCAACAGTTTCGCTAGACTCTCACAACGTAAGGACACGATTATGTTATCTTCAATCAAATCGTTCCTTCCACTTGATATAATTAATCGGTCGTTTGTTCAACTTTATTTTAGAATTATCTAAGGTCGATATCTACCGTTGGCACTGAGATCACTCGTGCAAGGGCCGAATATACAGATCAGGTCACAAAACGAGAAAGGAGAACTCACTCGGTTATAACTCAAATAGTTTGCAGGCTTGCGGAAGGTCAATTCGCCTCATTTAATGACACACTGAAAAAATGTGGCCCGCATATTGCGAAGATGAAAGAGTGGGCACCTTTTGCTGGTGAAGATATGCCATTGCCTCAAGGCTTGGATGACTTTTTGGAAGATCAGGTATAGAATGATCATGTAATTGAAAAAATAATTGACATTTTAACCAAACATTTGCAAATTAAATTAAGCCCGCAACACCTCATTCGGATCAAGTATCAACAAATTCGGAAAATGCGCCTGATTCTCTCGCATCGATATCAGAAAAACAACTAGCCGCCATGAATTACTCTTCTCAAGGTCCCAATCTACCCGAACCTACACTGCCAATTGTCGACGATGATCCGGATGGCAATGTTCCCACAAAATATGTGCAAATGCCTAGACCGAAGGTCGTCAGCCCAATACCTACGAAACCCTTTTCACCATCTACGATAGTCACCCAAGTGGGTGGCACACCAGGAATAACTCCCGTTTCTCCTGTAAAACAGTTGGCCTCTAAATCCGCATCAGATCTTCTCTCGGGATTTTCAATTGGCGTTCACGCGGACGATCATCCTTTCTATCGGGAGAAGGAGGTGGAGGTGAAAGCAACCGAGTTGTACACGGAAAACCGGGTGGTGAAGGCGGTGAGCAAGCCCAGTGCGGTGAAGACTAAAATCGAAGAGAAACCTAACATCCAGACATCCAAAGTGACGAAAAATAGACAAAAGGAAGATGCGCCAAACGAGGATGCGAAGAATATTCCACCACCAGCAGTAGATAATAAACCAATTCAAATCAAGAAAAATCTTCAATCCGAAACACCACCGCCCAAAGAATTTATGATCAGTCGCAAAGCTGTTTTGGATGATGGCGATTCTACATTGCGTAATAATAACTCGACACTACCAGATGACGAAAGTAACGTCGCCGGAGGAAATTTAAAAATACAAGAGCCTCACGATGCAAAGCCTGATGATAATGAAAGCAACGAAATAAATATTTCTAAAGAGGAGACCAAGTTAGTGTCGACTAGTGTCGACAAGGATGAAACGATAGGTTCACCTCAAGTTACAGATGATCACAAACTTCTGATTAGCGAAACTCCCAAGGTGGAGGTAAAAGAGGTGAAAGTTGAGAAAATAGCTGAAATCAAGAACGCGGAAGACATCATTTGTGAGCTCAAAGATGAAAAGACGAGGGTCGCCGAACTCAAGAATGAGCAGCCAAACACACTCGAACCTCAAAACGAACAATCGAATCTTGAAAAACAAGATAATGATCGGTCAAACAAACCTTTTAATAAAGATCTCCAAGAGAAATACGCGAAGCAGGATGACTCGGTAAGCTCTGATAAAGAGTCGAGGACTTTCACGAGCATTAGCACCGACTCTCTCATGGGATCCTTTCCCACAGATCTGCCGATTCGTTCGTCTCCGCTCCAGAAAGATCAGCGCACAATTATCGATTATCCCGAAAATGACTTGGATCTAGACGACCGATCGTACAGCCGCTCACCACCTCTGTCACCTCGTCCAATCCATGATGACTTTCGAGAGATAAATTCATACGAACGTCACTTCGATGACCGCAGAGGATTTCCGCCGATAAGAAAAGATTATCGTGACCATTATCGTCATGATATAGTAAGATATGAGGACGACAGACGCTACGATGATCCAAATAGATATTCAAAGAGAGAAATAGTCCATCGCGATTATGAATTCGGTTATGATATGCAACCTTATGGAAGCAGGGGAAGGTATGACGAACCTATTCGTAATCCTAGTTTTGACCCACGATATCGCCAACGGCGAGATCCAGATGACGAATACGGCGGGCAATCATATTACGGTCCCCCACGTTTGTCGACCCCTTACGGTCGAGATAGGTCACCTCCCCGAAGACACGATCCATATGCTTGCCGGTCTTACACCGATCCGTGTAGACCCGGATCATCCGTGGCGGACATTCGTGATCGATTTCAATCGAATAATGAGGAGAGGAGACCCGTTAGTAATTTTTGGGTGTTAAAGATCGTTATGGATGAACGAACGGGAGTGGCGATTAATCTTATTTTATATTTTATTTTGCGTAATCATGTAGCTATCATCCCCTCGAGATTTTCCAATTCCACGGTCGGGCCGAGTTAATGACTTGACATTACGGTTTGGTGGGACGAGAAACGAATTACGCAATGACCCGCACAACTCACCAACGTTATCTCGAAACATGAGAGATTATCAATACAACGTTGGTGGTAACTATCGTTTGCAGAGTAGTTACCGAGAAGAACGGGTATGATTTGTTTAGGATTTCTATACTTTATTTCATCCAAATTCAAATTCTTATTCTCATGATGATTCGTTCAATTTTATTTGTTCCTATTCAAAAAAGTATATCGACAAAGAAGGGCGTTATAACGATGTTTCATTACACAGTCGACAATGTGATTGTTATGATTGCCTGCAGCAAAACACCCCAAGCCCTACTAGCCCAACGAGCATGAAGTCTCCGTCACCGTTTCGTCCTTATCACAATGATTCGCAAAGGAATTTAAGACAGGAGAAGCTTTTGTGAAAAAATAATTTGAATCTCATTTACTCTAGCACCTGGGAGGCGACATTGGAATTAATTACCCTGGTTTTGCATTTATTGACTTGACTTTGTATTAATTAATTCATTCATTTTGTACACATATAATTAGATGGTTTTTAGCTTGCAGATCCTAAAATCTATTTATTCCAATGCGCCAATAATTAAGTTCTGCTTTTACAAGATTAACAATTGTTGGGCTTAAGCGTCTCAAAGTGCACGGTTGGGTTATATTTTTTGCGCTTTTGAGAAAAGACGTGGCAGAAAATGGAGAAAATGTTTCAGCAGAATTTACACGTATTAGAGCATTAGCTTATTTTTTTTTCTTAAAAAAATTTTTTTTCTTACTAGACACATATATAAGCCAATTTGCTTCATCCATCCACTCTAGTGGTTTTTCTTTTCGCCAAATATTCAAGCCTCCGATGGCGGCCACTACTTATTTTTCATCTAATGGAAAAAAAAAAAAAAAAAAAAAAAAGAAATATTCATAATTTATCTATGAATTTCTACCATACTGTATGTTTCATATTCCCCATATCAAAATTTCATTACAATTAATGCATATGATGTAATCAAAATAAATAATATGTAAATTTTTATGAACTCGTGGTTTGATTCAAATACGAGTATTGTTTATTCGGATACTGTATTTTATTTTTAAAAAAAAATGAATATTACGAGAATTTTAAATTAGATTGTTACTAGCATTTCAAAATTATCCCTTACAAAATTCTATCTTTGTGGTTGATCGATTTATTCACCAAAATCGGCCTTCCTTTTCTTTAAAAGGCGTTCGTTGTTTGGACTCGAACCTTTTACGCTTCGGACGAAGTCTTGAGTGACCATATCCGCACAGTCTACCCGATGCCAGTTGAGTACCATCTCTTGAGATCGCCACACTATTAACACTACCCGAGTGATCCTTTAAAATGCGTGGCTTCGGGTCTGAATTCTTAAGGTCACACTTTTATCACGGATATTATTTTCAGAAATGAGAAGTCTCTGATTCGGAGTTGAATTTTTAAGGGACCACACTGTCAACGTTCCATCATCTCTTAACAGATGCCAATTGAGATCTATCCGCCGAGATTACCACACCAATAACTTTATCAGCATGTTTTAAAATGCGCGGTTTCTGATTTACTGTAAATTATTAAGGGACCATACACACACCGTCTTATTTTGTTACCCGATGCCAGTTGGCTAGCTCTAGGGTTCACGATTCCCGACCTAAAACCTCAAGGGACCATATTCTTAACGTCTGGTCTGAGCTACCCTATGCCATTTGAGGTGAGATCCTCTCATAATTAACGATTTCGCTATGTCCCTCAAAAGTGTAGGGTAATTGATTTAAAGCATCAAGTGATCAATCATAGTAGCAATATCCCATTATCACCGCGCGATGCCAGTAAATACATATTTGCAATCCGGTATCCAACCAAGTCTGATATTTACCAGCCGGGGAATACTTTCAAATGCTATGCATTTCCTATTTTGACCGAATCCCCATCTTCTAAAAATGTGGTTCATGAGGAGTAAGTTGATAAAAGTTCTAGAGGACGAACTCAAATCTGTGATCAAGATTCACTTGCATGCTGTTTTAGAAATATCTTGATGCATAATAATAATAAATTTGATACGTAGTGCTCTTCCTATGCGTGTCACAAGTTGACCAAGAAAAAGATGTTCATATTTGGATAAACCGCGTGTGACTTTTAAGCAAGCTTCTTTTTGAAGCTTTTCCTCATCACTTTCTTTTGAAGCTTTTCCTTATCACTTTCTTTTGAAGCTTTTCCTCATCACTTTCAAGAGCATTTTCTGCCAGACGAATTTTGGAACGTAAGGTGAATCCATATTTACAGTCGCGCGATCTAAATTATTGAGAGATGAATATACTGTATCTCTTTACTTGATGGCGGATCCAGTGCATTACAGTAAACCTCACCTCGATATAATCTATCGGGTTTCATCAACTGGGCTTTCGCATCTTGCGTATTAATCTTTTCACTTGATATTCCCCGAAGCAATCACTCCGAGGCTGTAGACATCCAAATATTCATCATGATTCCCACGAGACAATCAATTGTTTTTTTCTAATGAAATTTTACCAGATCACCGTGAATAATCAATCCTTTGGCAATATCTTTTTTTTTTTCATTCCAGGAAAGTACCTGAAAATTGGTCCGCAAATATGACTCAAGAATTTGTTCACCCACACACGTACTGTAATACCATAATGAAATAAGTATATATGTACGCGCATACAATTAGCCAAGACCATCTATGAAGTTCCACAAAACAATCTACCCGACTAACATTCAAATTACCTTCACTGACACCCAACAACTTGATTATATTATTTTTCAACGTGAACTTTGTTTGTTCAGATTTTTTATCTAAAATTAAGGGATGTGATATTTTGTCCCGAGGAAATGTCTTACATGAAAAAATAGCCGTGAATCTACGGTACGCGTGCACATACAGTATCCACGTAATCGGATCTTTATGATCTTATTCACCACTTAAATATTTGACGGTAACATTTTACAAAGCCTTTCCACATACGTAGAAGTATTCAACATCATTCGTTATGCTACCAAATAAACTGCGATCAAATTTTTTGATAGGCTCCTCTTTGGTAACTCTTTCAAGTCTAACTTTCCAACCACGTCCGAGTCGAACTGAAGTTGCAGACTTGGATAATGGGTTACGTAATTATCAAGCAATGCAATGTACGAGTAGCATCGTTTGTAATCATTTTTCATTGGTCGTGTTCAAAGCCTCCGCCCGCGGTTGTCTCCGAAACTGGAGAAGAGCACACACGTATACATTATATCCCTAGCATCATGCCAAAGATGCATGATTTATTAATATACTAAAATTATTTCCATTAAATATTATTAGATTAAGATTATTTATGATGTGTCGTATAGTAGTTGATAAGGGAAACTTTAAAATTAAAATGATTACGCAATGCGATGCTAGTAATGAACAGCGACTTGACCGCGGTTTTTCAAAGACAAACACGCACACACATTTATACTGTATACAATGGAAATTATATTTCTCCCAATAATGAAAAGGTTTATACACCACACAACGGCAATCCGACCACGTAATTAATTGTGATGTTTTCTCAGACGTAAAACCACATAGAATGCAATTCTAAAGAAAATACTTAGCGCCACCAGCGCAAGCTGTAGAGAATAAGTGCGAATAAATAAACGAACACGCCAAACAATTCACTAACGAAGAAGTTTGAACATATTAATAGACACACATACCGCCCACTTCCAAAGCACGATGTTCGTGTATCCATAAGAATCTAGAACATCTGTTCCCGTGAACTGGCAACTTGATTCATATTGACTCACATAGTCGCACATGCACGTGACCCCCGATCCATTCCCGTGTTTGGTCACTTGTTCACAATTAAACGTCAACCCTGTAAAGTCGTTGTAAACTATTGCCTCGAACGCATACTTCTGGTAATCAATATAGCTGGCCCATCTCCATCCTCGGGGTATTGAATCATACCTAACGAAATAACCTTCGACCACCATGAAGAAGCCATTGGCAAATGCCGCAATTGCTAACGCTGCGACGAATATCGGTATGCACGCGGAGATGAACACTACCATTGATTCGGCCACATACAACGCCAAGAACAAGAATAAAACAAATTTTGTGGCATGGTCCCCTCCATCATGTAAACCGATCATTGGATAGGCGACTATTGAGAATGAGATGGCTATTATCACAACGAATGGTAAAGCTACCAAGGTGTTTGCCAGCACGTACGGACCAACAGAGTAAAATCCGTTCGCGCGTTCACGTTGGAACACCAGACGTTCTTCCAGAAACCCGGGAATTCCGGCGACACTCATGAACGCAAGGAACGCGACGGAAAAGAAATGTGCCGAGAATCGATCTTGAACATTCTTCTGCTCGAAACCAACCTGCCACCACGTAGAACCCATCAAGAAGGCCAACATGACATACATGGCCACGCGTATCCAAAACATCAGGACATTCCTAAGCGCATTTTTCAACGAACGCATCATGATTATGCCGCTCTGAGCAAAGAAATTACGGGCATAACGATTGGTTGTTTTCGAACTGATGACTGCAAGTGATTCGTCACTTCGAGATTCTTCGATGAGCTTTTTGATTTCATTGTCAACTTCAGTTTTGAACTCGGATCCTTGAAATGCTTCAATGAAACTGTTGGTAAGTTTTTCTGCTTCCGATCGGTCTTTCATGAAATCGGAATTTATCAGTGTCAAGAAATGATCGGCGGGATTTGCGTACGGCGGGCATGCGTGACCGAGACTTTCAAAATATGTGAGCGCCCCTTCGCGTTCGCCAAAATAAAGTGTTTTTCCGCGGCCCAAAAGAAGCAGTTTATCGAATAACGAATAAGTTTCGGTAGATGGTTGATGAATGCTGGCAATGACAGTAAGCTGGTGATTCTGTGCCATGGCCTTGATGGATTTCATCACGTTATACGCGGCTGCTGAATCTAGGCCAGTGGTGGGTTCGTCGAGGAAGATTACACTGGGCAAGGTGATTAACTGTGAGGCGATGGCACATCTGCGCTTCTCACCACCAGACACACCACGGACGAAGACAGTTCCAATCTTTGAATCGGCCACACGTTCAAGACCAAACTCCTCTATTATGGCTTTGACGCGGGCTTCTCTTTCAGATCGTTTGATTTCTGCTGGAAAACTATGGAAAGTTTAAATAAAATATTGTATACTACACACTGACAAAGAACTTACGTATTATATATTGCAATAAAACTTACCATAAGTCAGCAGCCTAAAAAAATTTTAAATGAAGATGAATTAAAAATTTTTAAATAGAATGCTCGTTCGAAATTTGTAGTCAATAAGATGATCAAGTTAAACCTACGAATTGTATATTCTCACGCACGGTCAACACCCCTACAATTCCAAATAAATAAATAAATTAATTAAATTCTTAAGCAATGTGGTTTGTTCAGTTAACAGCCATAAAATGAACGATCATTCAATTACCCATCAAAGCGTCATCTTGCATCACATAGGTAGATGCGTATTTGATTTCACCCGGCCGACCATTAAGAAGGATTTCACCAGAAACCAGCTTCGGATCTTTGTGCCCAGCCAACAAATCCAAAAGACTTGACTTCCCAGCCCCTGAAGGTCCCATTACTAACCGCAAGGAAAAGAGAATAAATTGAGAAAGTAGAAAAAAAAATTTTTTTTCCTAAATGTTTCTGCTCCTTATTCCATTGAAAACACCTACTAGCCATAACTTCACCAGGTTTCACATATCCACAAACGTTTTCAATTATATTTTTTCTGTCCTTGGTCTTTGGATCGATAATTGAATAACAAACATCCCTCCAGGAGAGACAAACACCCCCAGGGTTGGAGGAGGGTTTACCCGACAGGTCTAGGGAGATTAGATGACAATATTATTAATCTTATCATTTTCAAAATTTCAATTGTACAAATTACCTTGCTCTTCTTTGATAACGATAGAATGCGACATTATGCGGTACAATTCGTTGAGTTTTATATAATTTTGTCTGAGCAGGTTAATTCAACTATCCACTATCCTCGTCTGAATTAACGTTGCGAATTTTTCACTCGATGAATTCGCATCATTTTTATATGCAATTCGCAATTAGGCACATAGTTTCAATAATAGGAACACGATTTTTGATAATACCGTACGCGCAACTTTGTAACCGATCAATGAGACTGATTCTTTCTTGTATTCGGTGTAATCTGTCGCGCATGCTAGTGCATTAGTAGTAAACAATAAACACAGGTTTAGTCAGCATCGGTTGATCAATTTGTCAATGACGGTACAACCTCATTTAGCCTTCCCCTTATTAATGAAAGAGAACACGATCGTTTACATACACGGCAGTTAGTACTGAAAATCGAATAGAAAGAATTAGAATTCATTTCTGTCAAAATTAAAGTATTTAATAAAAGGTCATTTCGTTGTTATTGAATGATTGTAGGCAATGGTACTCTTAAAATCGTTAAGAATTTTGGTTATTTTTTTTTTTTATATATATGCGGTATACATTCAATGACAGTCAGTCCAGTTATCTTGATCATATTGTTTATATGAATCGACAAATATTTATCAATCGAGTCAAAACAACATTGCATATGATATTTAAAATCAAACCAATAAACAAGATAAAAAAAATTTTTTTTTCAAACCCTCTGTCAGGTTAGTTATGTGTGCTTTATTAAACATTGAGTAAACTGTGCGTATAACATGCATCGCCAAAGTCGAATCTCTAACTCACTCATCTTAGTTTTTTACTTTTCTAAGTGCAACTTCGAAAGTGATGATTTATAGTTCAGGTGAAAACCCTAATATCATTATCTACAGATCATCACTGCAGTGTAAATTCTTAAATTCTATGAATAAAAAATTTTAAATATATTTGAAATTAGTGGAAATAATATAATCATATCATTTCTAATTGATCCAGATTATTGTCACTCAGATACATCATTATTGGTGTCATGATATGTATTTTTGATATATTTTTAATAATAGAAACATAAATTATTGTTAGTATCATAATATATACTTTATAATATACAGTATAAATAGATGAATAATTATAAATTAAATGACTTTCATATATCAACTTACCTATTATTAAAAATTTTTTTTCTAAATGCAACTTAGAAAATGATATTTTGTTTCTTTTATAATTTAAATTATTCTTTAACTATAAAGTTTAATACTTATATATCATTACTATAAATTATTTATAGTTTTATTAACAGACTAAAAATCAAACCATTTTTTTCTATATTAATTATCTTTCAATAATTTTTTTCAACTGAATAGTGTTCTTATAGTATAAATTCTTTATATTGTTCTTATTAAATAGATTGTTT